AGCAGGATAGTTAAAAGGACTATGCATGGCTCGGGTTGCATTTACAGCTTTTAATTATGCATGAATATAAAAATCTCTTATGCAATGTTTATTGAGTAATATTTAAGTTATAAACAGGGTTAAACATCAAGGTAATCGCTTGTTCGTTTACACAACCCACGCCTCTTTGCATCGCCTGTTTTTTTATGCATATGCACAAACAAACCTGCGGGTTTTCGTTGAACTATCTGTGCGATTTAAATCACTACGATTATAATAAACCAGTATGGCACTATTTATATGCATTCTCACAAAACCCAGATGTTTTTTCGTCTTCTCTCATTTCATTTAGCATTAAGTGTTGTCTTCTGAGCTCTAATATATTTAGAATAAAGCAAATTAATGTTTTGAAGAATTCAGTACACACCTTCCAATTAACATATTTTCTTTACCACTTTAAAAATGTTTTGTGCAACTGTCGGTTAGTAAGCGCAAAAAAAATACCTTAATAATTTCTATACGTTCCGCATATATTCCTCCACTTTGGATAACAGAAAATATCCCCTGTTCCCATGAATACAAATAAAGAAACTTATTTGACCACATATTTATTGCAAGATACACATGCACCAAAACATGCACTAAATCCACAGTTCATCGTTGCTTTCCATTGAGGAAATGCGTTGGCACCAAGCAAAAACAGGGGCTTGCACAAAAAAAAGAGAGCAACACAAATTATTCACAAAAACACCACAAAATGTGCTCCCGTGATTCCACAGCTTTATCATTCCCACTCTATATCAGGAAGTCTTTTGGTGAAAAAAAAAGGAGTGTCACGTAATATTTTGAAACCAAAAAGTGCTCTACCCTGTTATGGAATAACACTAAAACACGATGCTGCTCAACACAGGGGACAGTCACAGCTTTGTTGAAAGTTAGGAGAAAAGTCCAATGCCACCAAAATAATTACGGGGAATTTAAAAATAAAAAAAGCGATAACCAAGTGGAGCATGGAGGCTCAGGAAAAGGTGAGAGTCGAGGTCAGTTCTCGGATGCGGTTTTCCCGGTTCATTTTCTTCAGTTTCATCCTCCGGTTCTGGAACCAGATCTTGACCTGTCTGTCGGTCAGGTTGACGCTCCTGCTGATCTCTAGGCGGCGCTCCCGGGTCAGGTACATGTTGAACAGGAACTCCTTCTCTAACTCCAGGGTTTGGTGCTTGGTGTAGGGGCACCTCTTCTTCCTGCCGCTCTTCGCCGTAAGCCAGTTGTTTGTCAGCGTCTCAGTCTTGCACTCTGCTGGAAAAAAAGGGGGAAAAAGTCAAATTACACACTGCTGAATACAAACATCTCACCTTCTGCTTTTGGATCTCACCTCTGGGAAATAAGAGACAATTAAATGCTTTCCCTGAGTAATAAAAATAGTTTGGAGCTTTGTGGAGGTTAATGAAAGGACTAAACCAAAATAAACTCTATGATGCAACATCATATTTTCATCTTTTTACTGAAATCCATTCATATTTTTGAAAAGTGCCTGATTAGTTACATATTATTTGTGAGATTAATTTAATGTTTATTTTAAATGCAATTTGAGACAAAAACCTCAAATGTATTTTTACAATATATATTGCAGTTACATATAAGGGGAGGCTAATACAGCATAGTGAAAGCATCCAGCTGCCCATTGCTGCAACCGGATAAAGACTATCATTAAACGTTACGACTTTAGGGCTGTTTGTGTTTTATACTTGCTTTTATGATGCTACTGGAGCCTCCTCAGAGCTGCAGATAAAAGCTTTTCATTTCACTACACCCAACCCACCTTTCCCTTCCTTCTGCTGCAGCAGCTCGGGTCTGGACTCTTCTGTTTTCTCATCCGAGCCCGACTTTGGGTCCGGGCTTTCACTTGGAATCGGTGTGCTGGTGATCCTTTCTGGTTCCCGGGCGCTATTTTCCGCTTCTGCAAATCCAGAGGAAGAGGAGGAGGAGACGTGCTGCGGTTTCGGCGTGACCCGACCGAGCTGCGCAAGCGTCGGTGTCGGGCTTCGAGGCTCCTGGCAGTAGTTTTCCGGCTGCTTCCCGTTAGCGTAAGCTTGGCTTAGTCTGAAGTAGCCCGGAACCGGGATCTCCGGACCGTCCACGGCGCACGGTTCGTTAATGAGATTGGAATATCCCTCTTTGTGGACTCTTTTATCTGAGTACATGCAGCAGTTGCTCTCTTCCTTGATGCTCTGTGGAAACGTGCAGTTTGACATCTCTGATCTGCAGGTTCTGCTCGGATCAGCCCAGGTGTCTATCTGAGGTATATATGAGTGGACGTTCATGGAAGTGTTTTGGGGGGCAACATCTCCTCTTTTACCAAAATTCGGCAAGAGTCCACAAGTTTGCATTCCGTATGTCCCGTGCATGTCCGAACCGGACGGCATGTACATGCTGCCGTTAGAGTAGAAGCTGTCCGTCCGGCATGCGCCGATCAAAGAGTCCACTAGGAACGGGTTGGCTGCAGGTGAGCTGCTGGAGAAAGACATCTCTAATTTTTGAGTCTTTAAGTTCTTAAGAGGAGAGAGATGTCTTTTTGTAAGATGACATGTCTTGGAAAAATATTCTGTAAGTCAGGATGCCTCCGCACCACATGACAAAACCACCAATGAGATTTGAAAATGGCCTTGAGACGCAGCCTCCTCTGGCTGGACGCACACACTATGAGGAGGGAGACGTGGTCAACAGCGACACCTATGACGCGTACTTGAAATTGGTTTTGCACCAAGTGCAGGAGGCAATGTGGCTTGTGGCAAGTTTTTTCTTTGTGCGCAAAGTCTGAAAATATGAAAATGCGAGTAATAGACTAAATTTGTACTATGCGTGTGGGTCACTGTATGTATGAATATGGTGTCATGAGTGTGGTTTATTTTGTAATATAGTTTAGTCCA